GCCGCCCTTACCCGGGCGGTCTGAGTAATCCGCTCGGGTTTGCTTTCGGGAGCTTTTGTTCCCTGAGCGCTTTCCGTAGAGTTCCGGAGGGCGGGAATGAAGATGGTGGCCTCCCGGTCTCAGGCCCAGAGGAGCCGAGAGCCCGGGGCCCCACTCCTCCGTGCGCCCTCAGAGAACAGCGCCCAATTACTCCCGTCACCCTGCCTCCGGCCGCGCTCCGAGCTGACCGAGCCTGCGACCGGTTCAAGGTAACCCCGAGCTTAGAGCTCACTCCTCGGCTCTGTCTCTGTAGCCGGCTTCCCCGTTCTAATACCTGTAAGCTCTGCGACACTCAGACACCCCCGATCCTTCTGTGACCCCGCGGGACCTGAGGCCACGCTGACCCCACGTGGGCTTCACCCCGGTTAAGCTCTGGAGCGATGTCCCTCAGCGGAACAGACTTTTAAAAGTCCTGATTTTGTGCTCCGTTGCTCCGCCGCTTGCCGGGAGCCGGCCCCTCCCCCTGCGGTCTATCTTCCCGTCGCTTTGGATTCACTTCTCTGCCAGTCCTACCTTTCAGAAAGTGGTTGATTTTCTGTTTCTAGAATTGCTGTTCTTCTTCTCTTCGATCTCCCGTTGGATTTGTAGGTGTTTGCAATCTTTAGATAAGCTATCTAGCTGATCTCCCGCTACCTGAAGTAGTCTCAGCCTGCTACTTCTCCGCCATCTTGACTCCTCCTCCCGAGAATCTACATCTTAACACTTAAGCCCAGCATTACTCTCTGCATTTTTAAGCATGGGCAGTAAAAATTCGGCACTTTCCTTGGGCCAGTGGCCTTGTATCCTGCCTCACTGTTTGGCCTGGGCACACCTACCAACTCCACCATTGTAGAGACGGGATGGCACACACTGCTTCTACAAAGTGATGTCTTTCAGATACTCGGTGGCTTTTTGAATATGCACACCCTTGATGGCCTGGGCAGTTTCACATGTATTCTTAAAGTGAATGCAAAGATTTGAACCTCTTGATTTGCATGATTTTGCCGGCTTTTCCGGGTCAAGCAAATAGTGAACCATTTTCAGAGGTTACCTCAATGGAATGAGTAAGTCACAGTAATAAAAAGGAGAGCATAAAGAATACAGCCAGTGATATCATAAGAGCTAAGCATGGGGACAGATGGTAGCTATACTTATAGTGAACATAGCGTAATATATAAACTTGTCAAATCACTAAGTTGTATGCCTAAAACTAAAACTAACTACTGTGTGTCAAGTACTCAATTTTTTTGCATTAAAATAAATGTAAATTTATTGAATTATTCAATCCACAGGAATAAAGTCGCTGAATGGATTAAACAAACAGAAAAGACCTAACTATATGCTACCCACAGGAGATTTAGTTCACTTTTAAGGATGAACATAGGCTCAAAGAGAAGGAAAAAAATTATTCTATGCAAATAGAAACTGTAGTAGACCTCAATACCATACCATCAACAATGGATAAATCATACAGACAGAAAAAAAAAAAAATCAGTAAGAAAACACTAGACTTGATTTTACTTTACACCAAATAGACATAACAGACATCTACAGATCATTCTGTCCAGCAACAGAATACCAATTCTTTTCAAACACACATGGAACACATGGTGTGTTTTCGAGGATGCACATGTTGGGTCACAAAACAAGTCTCAGGAAACTTAAGAAGATTGAAATCATGCCAAGAATCTTTTCTGAACACAATGATATGAAACTAGAAATACCAGGAAGAAACTGGAAAAATTCACAAATATGTGGAAATTAAACAGCACACTCCTGAACAACATCTGGGTCAAAGAAATAAAAAAGAAAATAAAAAAAATATCTTGACATAGTTGAAAATGGTAAAAATCTATAGAAACTTCGGAGTTCAGTAAAAGTAGTATTGAGAGAGATTTATAGCCATAGTGCCTACATTAAGGGGGAAAAAAAAATCCAAATAAACCACCTTACCTTACATCTTATGAATGGAAAAAGACCAAACTAAGCCTTAGCAAAAGGAAAACAAAAACCAAAAAAAAAAAAAAAAAAGAATTAAATGAGATAGAGACCAGAAAAACAGAAAAAACAAAATCAGTGAAAGAGCTGTTTTTTTTTGTTTTGTTTTTTAGATAAAGTTGACAACCTTTTAGCTAAATTAAGGGGGAAAAGACTCAAATAAAATCAGAAATAAAAGACATTACAATAGGTACCACAAAAAAACACAAAGGAGACTACTATGAAAGATTATGTACCAAAAAGTTGGCAATCTAGAAGAAATGGGTAAATTCTTAGAAACCTACAATCTACTAAGACTGAATCATGAATAGAAAATCTGACTAGACCAGCAATGTAAGGAAATAGAATCAATGGATTCTATGAAACATTCAAAGAAGAATTTATACCAATCCTTCTCAAATTTCCAAAAACTGAATAAAAATAAACACCCTCAAACTTTATTCAAAAAGCAGCCATAAAAACCTACAGTGAGAACATCCTACAGAGAAAAAGTGCAAATCACACACTGGAAGAATACAGTTACATATAACCAAGTCCTGAACATATGAAGAGTTCCTAGGACTGATATAAAGAGACAAGCCTCCAGACAAATGGGCAAGACATCTTTTTAAAGATTTATTTACTTATTTGACAGAGAGAGCAGAAGAAGGCAGAGCAGCAGGCAGAGGGAGAGGGCGAAGCAGGCTTCCCGCTGAGCAGGGACACCTCGCCACCCCCAGCAGGGATCGATCCCAGCACTCTGGGATCATGACCTGAGACAAAGGCAGACACTTAACCAACCAAGCTACCCAGGCGCCCCTAGGCAAGACATTTCAGGCACACACAAAAGAGGAAATTCAAATGGCTAACATATAAAAATGATGTTTAACCTTAATTAGGGATGTTTAATCAAATTAAAACTTCAGTGTGCACACACACAGAAATTTAAAAATCCCAAGTGTTGGAGAATGTGAAGTAAGGAACTCATACACAGCTGGTAGGAAAATAAATTGATACAACCAGTTTGGAAAAACAGTTCTGCACATCTCAAACTGTAAAGACATTTAAACTCTGTGGCTGAGCAATTCTATTCCTAAAAATACACCTAGAGACCATTTTGGAGTATGTATCAGGAGAAATGTACATAATTCGGCATAGTGGCATTATCTGTAACAACCCAAACTTCAAGTAATCCAAATATCCCACAGCACGAGAACAGACATAGTCATTCATATCACTGATTATGCTATGATTAAAATAAATATACTTCACCTAGCTCCATCAGCGTAAATAGATTTTACACGATTTTGAGCAGAAGCAGGCCACACACAGTTTACACAGTATGATGTCATTTGTTTGCACAGTACATGAGATAAAACTAAACTGCATATTATTTAGGGATGCATACAAAGAAAAGAATTATAAAGAAAAGCAGGGGTGCCTGGAGGGCTCAGTGGGTTAAAGCCTTTGTCTTCTGCTCAAGTCATGATCTCAGGGTCCTGGAATCGAGCCCCGCATCAGGCTCTCTGCTCAGCAGGGAACCTGCTTCCCCATCTCTTTCTGCCTGCCTCTCTGCCTACTTGTGATCTCTTGTCTGTCAAAAAATTGAAAATAAAAAAATCTTAAAAAGAAAAGAAAAGCAACAGAAAGCTTTTCATGCAAATCAGGACCATCATTAGCTCTCCAAGGGATGGAGGAAAGTAACAGGGTCATGACCCAGGATTCCAGTTCTCAGATTGGGCTGTAGTTACATAGGTGTTTACTTTATAATTGTTTTTTTGTTGTTGTTGTTAAGATTTATTTATTTATTTATTTGACAGACAGAGATTACAAGTAGGCACAGAGAGAGAAGGAAGCAGGCTCCCTGTGAGGCGGAGCTCGATCCCAGGACCCTGGGATCATGACCTCAGCCGAAGGCAGAGGCCTTAACCCACTGAGCCACCCAAGCGCCCCTTTTAATTGTTCTTTAAACTGCGCACATACCGGACATGCTGTCCGGAAGCTATGATATTTCTCCCAATGTGAAAGTGAAAAAATAAAAGCAAAACAGTGCAATCAAACACCAAATTAAGGCTAATGAGCCCCTGTGAAAGGGGAAGCAGGGATGAATTTCGGGTTGCAGCTACCCGGATTCTGAAATAGCAATCTTTCATTTCTTAACCTGGATGTTGGCTCACAGATGTTTGTGCTGATACACTAAATGTTGATACACAGGACTTGCAGCTATTTCGATCTTCCCGATGTTCCACTTAAAATGTAAAGAAAAAACAGTTTAGTGACACCCTACAGAGTGGTCAGGTGTTCTACTCAATCACAGTCCTGTGAACTGGCTTGAAAACCTCCTAAATAAAATCTTTTAAAAAAAAAAAAGGCGGGGGGGCGGTGCCTGGGTGGTTCAGTGGGTTAAAGCCTCTGCCTTCAGCTCAGGTCATGATCTCAGGGTCGCATCGGGGCTCTCTGCTCAGCAGGGAGCCTGCTTCCTCCTCTCTCTCTGCCTGCCTCTCTGCCTACTTGTGATCTCAGTCTGTCAAGTAAGTAAATAAAATCTTTAAAAACAAACAAACAAAAAACCTCCTTATCATGGTAACCAGGAGAAAATGAACTGGATGTTTCCATTCTTGACCACACCATTGTTTAGAAGGTAGCTTTATAAACTACAAGTGACCTACTTAGTCAGGAATGGAAAGACCCCCTGGACCAGATCCTTAGGAAGGTGCCTCCACTGAGCCCACTGGCCCTCCGTCTGAAGCCAGAGAGGAGGCAGCTGGTCCCAGGCCATGTTTCTTGAAACAAGGCACTCTCGTTTCTGAGTGAACCTAGGGTCCTTCCACTGCCCTTGACCTTCATGCACTTCTAGGGAGGGTAAGCAGATCCGAACTGCTCTCTCCAACACCTGGTGTCAGTCTGTAAAGTCACTTTTTTATCTGCTGTGATTGGAATAACACCCAGCCCACCAAAAGCAAATTCATTTTGCTTTATTCTGCAAAGACTGAGTATTTTCTCACCTCCGTCTTCCAAGCTTTGCAGTTTATGTTTGAAGCTAGGAGTTTTCATCAAGGATTCTTGGTCTACAGTCTCCAAAGGAAAAAAAAGCAAATGATGCTCCATTATCCTCTAAGGAGGAGTAAGCACATGATGCAAATATAATATAAACTCTGGAAAATCAGATGAATAACCAACAATAAATAGTACCTTAGACACGTTTTCCTTCGATATATTTTCTTCAACCTCTGAATGCTCCAAGGATGACAGATCGCTCGGCAGGTGGGGACTTTGATGTTCTGAGTGTTAGAACAATTTCCAGAGCATCAACATGCTAAGAAGCAACTTTAACATTTCACTATCACTCTATGTATTAAATCTTACCAACCCCAAAAAAAGATACTTAAAAAAAAAAAAAAAAAAAAAAAAAAAAAACAAAAAAAAAAAAAAAAAAAAAACCCACAAAAAAACGAAAAAACCCTTTTTATCTTTTAGGGCATGTAAGGTTATTGGTTTTTGCAAGCCGACAGATAAAATGAGCCTCAACTAAATCAGTACATTTCATAGCTGCCCATCCGGCCCCCAATACATGGGCAAGGCTCCTACTATCTCAAGCTGGTGACCCTTCTCTTTCTCCTCTCTCATCGTTCTTCTTATTTCCTCTTACTCTCTAATGCTACATTTTTCTCTTTTCTTTACTCCTTTTTCTCCCAGTGGCAGCCAAGCTAAGAAGTCATCACCTGCTTACTGACTGCTATCATTGGTTGGCAATGAGCTAAGCTGCAAAATGATAAAGGCAAACCAAAATCCCTAGCCTCACAAAAGATGTAAATAGTTCTAATAAAATACAACAGAGGTTAAGATGCACCTAACAGGACAAGGGTTGGCAAACGCTGGCCCCTCCAGTCAAATCCAGTCCACCACTTGGTTTTATAAATAAAGTTTTACGGAAACAACCATGCCTGAAGGTCTGTGGCTGATTTGGAGCTACAACAGTAGAGCTGCTTAAAAAAAAAAAAAAAAAAAAAAAAAAAAAACTTGCTGTCTGGTGCCTTACAGAAAAAGTATACCAATCACTGCTATAAGTCATCATTTGAGTTTTCTTTAAAAATGGAAGAGCACAAGGTAATCTCAAATGTTAAAACAAAGTTAAAACACAATGTCCTCTATCTTTTGCTAATGAGGACAGTAAAGGAGAGATCATATATTCACACATTCTTCAACACATGTTAAAAGAAAATTTGTTCAAACTACTTCTCCTGAAAAAAAAAATATATATATATATTTTCTATGTAAATCAACAGAAAATCAAGTACCTGTTTTCTGGGCAGAATCTTCAGGAGTTAAAAAGTCAGAATTACCCTGAAATTTTGTTACAGAAATTTTTAGAAGTGTGGAATTATTCTGCTTGGAGGTTTCCTTCCATGATGGTGTTAGAAGTTTAGCCTAAAATACAGTTTTTTTTTTTTAAGAATGTTAACATTCATAACCATTTTAAGTAGTTTTCAAAAATTTTCAATACATTTCTAATGTCCTTTAAAGTAGTTTAAGTATAGGATTTGCACCATTTGAAAACAAACACTAGGACCATAAGATCCTAAAGTTGAAAACACACTAAGGCATCTATCGATTCATTATTCTAACTCAAAAATAACTCTAAATTAAAGTTCTCAAAGTAGGACCCCACCCCAGAACAAAGCTTCAGCAGCACCCGGGAACTTGACAGAAATGCAAATTCCAGAATCCCATCTATTACTTATATTTAGCCAGAAACTATGGGGACTGAACCTAGCAATCTGCATTTAAACACACCATACTGGTCATTCTGATGATCACTACAGTTTTGAGATCCACTGCTCTAAATCAGGAATCCACAGACCACAGTTCACTGGCCCTCTCATAAATAAAGTTTTATTGGAATGCAACATGCCTTCCCTTAGGTATTGTCCATGGCTGCTTTCATGCTACAACAGAAGAGCTGAATAGTCACCATGGAAAATATTTACGATCTTACATGTCTAAAATGTTTACACTATTTACTATCTGACCCTTTACAGAACAAGTTTGCCGAGTCCTGCCCTAAATTATTCTCTTACATGCCAACACAGAGGAGTGAATTTTGAATGCTAATATTTGTACAAAGTCAGCAATGCCCTCACTGAAAAATCAACAGACTTCCTGTCAGTTGCATATCTTAAATTTATAGATTTGCAAAGCTTTGATGTTTCTTTAGTGCTTACTTCAAACAAAAGCTATATTTACTTTAAATCTGTCTTTTGACTTATTTTTTTTTAAAGATTTATTTATTTGACAGAGAGAGAGAAATCACAAGTAGGCAGAGAGGCAGGCAGAGAGAGAGGGGGAAGCAGGCTCCCCGCTGAGCAGAGAGCCGGATGTGGGGGGCTCCATCCCAGGACCCTGAGATCATGACCTGAGCCAAAGGCAGAGGCTTAGCCCACTGAGCCACCCAGGTGCCCCTTGACCTATTTCTAACTGATAAATCATACCAGTTTAAAGTATTCAACATGTATTTAGGTTCTTACTCTGGCTCACTGGTTTAAACTAGGAACTATACACTCTGTCAGTACAGATTCACAGAGGGTAATCATTAGAAGGGGGCAGGTGGGGAGAGAGAACGGTAATTGGAGTACAACCACATGGTATTTCTGCACGGGGTGGGTGGGTGGGTAGGGTGCTGTTGAAGCCCTCAATCCCAGCAGCCACCCCCTTAGAGAACTCATATACTTGGCACTCTATCTGTAGTCTTATGTGTCTCATTTGACGAGTAACAAAAACCAGCTGTTGAGAGGGGGGGATTCAGCTATTAACAGGAATATTTGGCTTTGAATTTGTCTGAACACCAGCGTTCTTATTTTTAGTTATGTTGCTTTAAAACAAAGAGAACCAAAATGAGTTGAGGAACTTTGAGGATTTATTCAATATTTATATAAACCTGAAGTCATTTCAACCACTTACAAAAAGATTTGTATGTTTAAACCATTAAAAGCTTTAGAAATAGTATGTCTGCAAACTGAAAACTAAGGGAAGAAGTTCACTTTAAACTGTAAATTCAAAGAGCAAACATTTACAGGACTACAGCCCAGATTTCAGCGTTGTCTATAGTAAACATCTTGCAAAAATTTGAGAACAATGAAGAAAGATCCGAAGTCTTTACCCAACATTTATACTAAATGTTAACAAGTCCTTGCAGTTTCTTTTGACAGTGATTTATGTACCAACAAACTGGTTTGTTATCCTCACAATCCTGAAAGGTTTTTTTTTTTTTTTTTTTGAGAAACAAATGAAATTTAACCCTAAACAGATTAACCTGTTTCATGCTAAGGCTAATGGCCACATGGCAGCCCAGCTAAAATTTACTTACTTGGTCTTTCTCATGGTCACTGCCACTGCTGGGAGGGGAAAATGGCAAAACTAAAAGAAAAAGAAGTGTACAAAGGATAAGTTTGCTTATGAGGAAAAAAAAAATCATTTCTCCCTTTCCCAAGTATACAGGTCCATGCTAGAAGCAATTCCCAAATCCTGAAGCTTGCTCAAATGTCTAGGTCTTAAGATGCCTTTTTAATTATCTTGTTCCTGAGTCCCTACCCCAGTGTGAATTCTCTGCTCCAGACCCTGCCTCTGATGCTTTCCTCGAGACAATTTATCCTTGCACTTTTACCTAACTTAGAATGCTTCCCTTCTACGCACGTCTTTGAATACTGTTCTTCCCCAAGGATTGGCTCAAATCCTACCTGCCTCTTCCTGGAAGCTTTTCCTAGTGATTTCCTGTTCATGTTAGATTCTTAGCTGAACAACTACTCTATTTATCTATAGCTAATATTTTTAAATGATTGGTCCGTTCCATATTCTTTTGCACTGATTCATGTATGTACCTTCTGTCTTTCTAAAGGAATTATAGCAGGGAAGAAGGGATCACATAATCATTTTTTCTTTGGTATCCTCCTTCCATCACATAACTGAAAAAATACCTGATTCACTTGGGAAAAAAAAAATGACTTGAAAGAAGATACATACCAAACTTACCTCTTACGCTGTTTCTGATTCTTGTCTTTTTTCTACCAGAATATGGTTTTAGGGATTTCTTTTTTTGGTTGCTGGTCCAAGATCGTTCACTGGTGCTACTACTTGAATCTTTATTACTCTCCGAGAAGATGTGTTTCCTGTAATTAAGCTTTTACAGACACACGTGATAAATGAGTGCTATTAAAAAGGTGTTAGTTCCCTTTATGTACAATTAAATATATCAATACAAAGTTAGGCAAAAGAGAAGCAACTCCTTCTAGAAGATTGGTTCTCATACAATAAAAAGGCATGGTGGTAAGGAGAGGAAAAAAGATTTCATTAGACAATTCTCAATCACGCTGTTGTAATGGAGGACAGAAGGAAAAAAGAAAAAAGAATCCTCTCTCATCAATTAGTTGCAACTGAAGAGATCATAGGTAATTCTTCAAACGCTGATGCCCCTGAATATGATACCTTCAAAATACTAACCCAAATGACAAAAGAATTTATAAAAATAATTTTTTCAATGACAACGTTGATTATATTTTAAAGAAACTAAAATAAAACAAGGGGATCATTTCCATTTAAACCTGAAGTATTTTGAAATTAAGACTAGACTATCAAGGTAAATTTAATTTCTTCAATGATTTAATGGATTTTATGTGCTTTTAAGTCTTTTCCTGGCTTTGGGTTGGTTTTTAGAAGTGCTGCAACAAACAGTGTTTAGGCTCCATTTTAATGTGGAATTTGTTTTGATTTTAACACAAAAATACTCTAGTTGGCCTCTGTCTGTTGTGCCCCTCCAGGGGGCCCAGTCTTAAATCAGGAATGCCTCAATAGAAACCCTACCGTTCAGCTGGTAAGAGCTCATTCTCGTTCTAAGGCAGGGAGGATTCTTATGAATCCAAACACAGTAGCTCAAACAGTCTTCTCAAATATGAAATGCATCAGCTGGAAGAGACATCCTGGGCCTGGAACAGCAAACTACAGAGCCATCTCCAAGGCCATCACTACAGCAGGATGAAAGCTACCACCCCCCTTGTTTATGATAGCATGACCCACAACTTTCAAGGCGGGTGAGGGTGAGTGATCTATTTTTGAAATGAATTTGTTGTTGAAGACCCAAGTACTCCTACTGTAAAATGTTTAGCAGTTCAACATTTTCTGGAGAATAAGCAGAAACTTGTAAGTGAGGCCTATTGCCTTTTACATTTATGGGGGGAAACATTTGGGGGGAAGCCCCCGCATTTGTTCCACAGTTCAGCCCAGAGTCTTGGAAAGAGCAAATGTTACTTCATTTCATTCATACAATTAACAAACCATGTGGCAAGGCTTTGCTAGTTGCTGTGGTTTATGTAAAAAGGTGTTGAAAGTTACTTACAAAAATCTAGAGCAGTGGCTCTAAAATTTGGCCACCTGTTAGAATCATGAGGGGCTTTAAAAGAATCCCAGGGCCTGAGCATCACCCTAGATCAACTAAGTTGGAATCTTTGCGGGGGAAGTGATCCAGCCTTCAACTGTCTCATCCACTTCTTTGGTGGGATTCCAACTCAAGACTGAGCAGCAGAGAGTGATAACCATGGCTAAAAGCAAGCCAGAAGGATCCTTAACTCATGTAAAGCCCATAATCTCAATTTAAAAAAAAATGCATTTATTACTCATTATAGAATTTTTTAAATGCATGGACTACGGGCTTAGAGCAGTGTGCTTCCTAAAGTGAGAGACACTCGGAACAGGTGTAAGCTGGTGCATACAGGAATGAACAAAATCATGTCACTGACTCATTAATTTCTTTCCGTGCTCTTTGGCAGCACACCTACTAAAACTGAAGTAATACAGAGAAGACTAGCATGGCCTCTGTGCAAGGATGACATGCAAATTTGTGAAACATTCCATGTTTTTTAAGAAAAGAATTTCTTTTCAACTCATGAACACTTCTGGTTCTATTCAGGATAAATCCCAGATAACGGGTGATCTTTAACACTTCTGCTAATATTTTTTAAGAAAGAATCAATTTTCCATTTAAAAGTGAAATAATTTCATATTAACTTTTACATGTAATTAGAGATAATAAAGACCAGAATGGTAACCAGTTTTCAAGATGGCAGGCAAGTAACTGAAATTTACAAAGTACTGCCTTAAAACAAGAAAGGTTATTCCATTACCTGCGTCCTTGTTTCCTGCTTTCTTCCACCCTCAGAAGCAGATTCAGCCCTAAAACAAAATAGATCAAATGAACAGAGCTGCACCAGCACCACTGTCTCCCTCCCTCATTGCCCAGGCCTCACTTTTTTTTTTTTTTTTTTTTTTTTTTTTGCCCCTCCATTCTGTGCCCTTTGTCTCTGATCTGGAGCGCAGTGGCACTCTGATCTGTCTGCTGTGTCCTGCAGACAGACTTCTCTTGGAATCCATTTCCATAGATTCTCTGACAGAGAACATTATTTAAAAAAAAAAAACAAACTTGTGGAGCCCTTCTCTATCAGGCATACAAAGAACAGGAGGGCCATGTTAAAGCTATATGGAAGCAGGAAGGTGTTACAGAGTGGTATTTTCTGCCTGGCTTTTCCTTAGAATCAAAAGAGGAATTTAACAAGAACACTTTTCCCAATAACTAGTGCATATTGAGCAAATTTCATATACCTGTTGGCCATTTGTAGGTCTTCAGATAAATATTTAATTTCTTTGCCCACTTTTTAAATTGGGCTGATTCTTGGCTATTGAGTTTTGGGGGTTCCTCAGGTATTTTGGACATTAACTCCTTACTGGATATATGGTACGATATTAAAAAAAAAAAAGGTAACAAGTGTTGGTGAAAAATGTGGAGAAACTGGAACACTTACACATTATTTGTAGGAATGTAAAATGGTATAGGCACTATGAAGAACAAATTCCTCAAAAAAAAAAAAAATTAAAAATAGAACTATCATGTTATCCAGCATCCCACTTCTGGGTATATATCCAAAAGAAGCTTTGTTTACAATAGTTAAGTTACGGAAACCATCTAAATGTCCATCAGTGGCTAAATGGATAAAATGTGGTGTATATATATTATACACACATGAATACTCCTCAACCTTAAAAAGGAAATCCTGAAGTATGCAATAACATGGATAAACTTGGAAGATATTTTAATTCATGAAATAAGTCAGTCGCAAATGGACAAATACAGCAGGATTCTGTTTATAGGAGGTATCTAAAATAGTCAAACAAGAGAAATGGAATGGAAAGGTGAGTGAAAGGGGCTGGAGAGAGAAATACAGAGCTGTTGTTCAACAGGTATAAAGCTTTGCAAGGTACAAGATAAGTTTGCGAGATCCACTGTTTAACATTGTGCCTACAGTTAACAATACCATGTTCTGCCCTTAAAAATGTCTAAGATAGTAGAACTCAGGTTAAGTGTTGTCATAATGAAAAAAAACAAATGAAAAAGCTAATGCACCTATATTTCGGGGCAACCCTTGATCTACTCTGTCTCTATAAATTAGTTTGCATTTTCTAATACTTTATATGGAATCATGCAACATGTACACTTTTTTGTCTGGCTTCTTTCATTTGGAGATTCATTCATGTTATATATATCTGTTTATTCCTTTTTATTTTTGAGTAGTATTCCATCACATGGATATAACAAAATCTGTTTTCACACTCATCTACTAATGGACACTTGGGTTGTTTCTAGTTTGAGATAACTACAAATAAAGCTTCTATAAATATTCACTTATGTGGACATATGCTGTCACTTCTCTTGGGTAGACAGCTAGGATTGGAACAGCTAGGCCCTAAGATATGTGCATATTTACCTTAAAAAACCACCAGTAGGATATAACATTCCTCTACATCTTCACCAACACTGGTATAGTTTTTCTCATTTTAGCCTCTCTGCTACATGTATGGTAGTGTTTCTTAATTTTCATTTATATTTCTGTAATAGCTAATGATGTTGAACAAGTACTTACCTACCAACTCCAGATCTTTCTTGAAGTAGTTGTTCAAACCTTTTGTCTATATTTTAATTGGGTTGTATCTTTGTTATTGAATTTTGAGAGTACTTAATATATTTGGGGTACAAGTACTTTATCAAATACATGCTTTATAAATATTTTCTTTGGGGCACCAGCGTGGCTCAGTTGGTTAAGCACCTGATGCTTGGTTTTAGCTCAAGTCATGATCTTGTGGCCATGGGGTCAAGCCCTGGGTCCGGCTCTGTGCTCAGTGTGGAGTCTGCTTCAGATTCTTTCCCTCTCCCTCCCACTCACTCACTCCCTCGCTAATAAATAAAATCTTTAAAAACAAAAAAAAACCCAAATATTTTATTCAAGTGTGTGGCTGGCCCCTTAATTCTCTTAAGAGTGTTTTGTTTTTTTTTTTTAAACTAGAGTTTTTAATTTTGATTAAGTTCAATTTATCAGTTTTCTTATGGGCTGTACTTTGGAGTTATATCTAAAACACTTTGCCTCATGGAAGGTCAAAGATTTTTTCCTTATTCTCTCTTTCAAATGGGCTTTTACATTTGAATCCATTTTTAGTTTTTTTTTTTTTTTTAAGTGGTGGAATGTAAAGACTTCAGATAATTGATATGGGGAGTCCATGGTTCCAACACCATTTATTGGAAAAAATGATTTTCTCCACTGAACTGTCTTTGCATTTTTGTCACATGACAACTGTCTCTATATGCATAGGAAGACTGCTTGTTCTGTTGTACTTATTTATCTGTATGGCAGCAACATACTCTCTTGATTACTGTAGCTTTATACACTAAGTCTTGAAACATGTAGGGTATTAGCCATTTTGTAGTTCTTTTTGGTATGGGTCCTTTAAATTCCCACCTAAAATCTAGAAATACCTTGCCAATTTCTAAAAACAAAACAACATCTCTGCTGGAATTTGATTTGGGTTTGTATTAAGCTTATAGATCAATCTGAGAAGAACTCTCATCTTGCCATTACTGATCGAGTCTGCCGTCCCCTAAACACAGTAGGTCTCTCCATTTATTTAGATCTTGCTTAATAGATCTCAGCAATACCCTGTACTTTTCAGTGTAAAAGTCTTACAAATCTTTTGCCAAATTAATCCTTACATATGCCATATTTCATATTTTTTAAATGGTGTTGCTTTTCAAAAAAATTTGATTGTTGTTAGCATATAGAAAGAAACTTGATTTTTGCATCT